ATATATATTTATGATATATGTGCTTCATGCACATGGTGATGTGAAGTGATGGTGTGGTAACCTAGTTAGTGTTAAGTGCTTTGCATGCCTTCTTCCTTACAGCTGCCACAGCTGGCTAGCCTAGTGCGAAAAAGGGAGCAGCTATGCATAAGTCTCCCCTGACAGTGCATAGCCTCTCCATCATCGAAACTTCTGTAGTGTCTCCTCGTGGCCTCCCATGGAAACTTGGTACCTTGCGGTCCCAGGCTAAACTGTGGAGGATCTCGGAGCAGCAGGAGGCCCTAGAGGTACAGGGTCATGGCCCACCTGCGTGTGGACACACCCTGGCCCTGTACCAACTCCTGCCCCTAGGCCCCCTGGGGTTAATGGAAGGCTCAGGGGAGGTGGGCCTTGCCAGTTCTCCTCCCCCCAGATAAACCTCATTTGCAGTAAAAGATATAAATAGAAATGCTGGGAGGAGGGATAATGCTCCTCCCACCCAGTGAGTCGGGCTGCAGGCCCCGTTGGGAGGGCGACTGCCGGGACACAGGATGGGAACAGGGCCTACTGGTCCCGCCTGCATTCTGGCAGTCGCCAGCCTGGAGTGAAGCTTGTGGGGGAAAGCCTTCGGGAGCCCCGCAGGTGGATAATCGGTCCTGTAGCCTGTCGCCCCCTTCTATATGGAGCAGTGTCAGTAGGGGTGGCAGAGGTGGCATCCACCCGGAGTGACTGCCCAAGGCTAAACCTCAGGCGAGAAGTCAGGGTGGGGGCTTGGAACGTCCGTTCTTTGCATCAGGATGATTGGTTGCCTCTGCTGTCAAGGGAACTGGGGAAGCTAAGAGTGGAAGTGGCTGCTCTCTCAGAGGTGAGAAGACCAGGCAGCTGCATGATTAGTGTAGGTGGCTATACCTACTACTGGTCGGGCCGTAGCGATGGTCACCATCTCCAGCAGAGGTTACTCCAGTCGAAGAGCGTATAATGATAATGAGACTGAAGCTAGCATTTGGCTTCATGTCTCTTATTGCTGTGTATGCTCCTACCCATGTTTGGAAACTTGAGGTGAAAGAGATGTTCTATGCCAAACTAGCATCTGTGTCAGACAGGTGTCCCCGGGTGTTTTCAATGCGGTATCTGGCTGTCGTCGAGCTGGCTATGAGATGTCTATTGGTCCCCATGGCTCAGGAACTGATACCGGTAGTGAGAATAGCCTCCTTTTCCGGGACTTTGCTAGGTCCCAGAAATTGAGGATTTCTGGCTCCAGAACTGCAGGCTGTATAGGAGTGCCGAGTTCTGTGGTACTGACCATAGATTGGCTGTGGCTACCTTCTGGGTCCACTTCAAAACTCCCCAGCGGTCCAATGATCACCCCAGGGTGTTTCACTTGGACAGGCTGAGGGAGGGGGAGTGTGCCCGGGGGTTTGCTGAAACAGTCTCTGGTCGTTTTGCAGTGCTCAAAAATCTGACGGACCCTGTACTCCTGTGGGACACCTTCAAGCGTGAAACGCTTGATGCAGCTCAAAGAAGGATTGGTGAACACCCGAGAGCAAGACAGAATTTTATCTCGCAGGAGACTCTGGATGTCACAGATGCTTGTCGCACGGCCGGTCTGACAGGGGATCAGGATTTGCACCATTCTCAGGTGCGCAGATCTCAGTCACTGTTAAGAAGGGACAAGGAACAGTATATTGGGAGTCTTGCAGAGGAGGTAGAAGGCCATTTCTTAGTAAATGGCCTTCGTCCTGCATACCAAGCCCTGAGAAAGCTGAACTCCAAGCCCTCTTCTCAGGTGACAGCGGTTTGCTTAGTAAGTGGCCAGATCGTCTTAGATCCTGTTGCGGTGTGGGAACGTTGGGCTGAGTATTTTGAGCAGCTGTACTAGGTTGACCCACCAACAGTTAACTTGGATATGGGTAGTGCCATGATTCTGTTGCCGGACCCAACCATCAGTGAGGACCCACCCTCCCTAACTGAAGTTAGGGGGGCGATATCCAAGCTGAAGAGTGGCAAAGCAATGGGCATTTGTGGCATCCCAGCTGAACTGTTAAAGGTTGGTGGGGGACCTATGGCGTGTGGGTTGCATGCTTTCCTGGCTGCCATCTGGCGGTCTAGTATCATTCCCTCTCTGGATCACAGAGGCATCACACTGCTCTCCATACCAGGCAAGGTTCTTGCCCTCATCCTTCTGAGACGTATCTGAGACCATCTACTGAGGCACCAGAGGCCGGAGCAATCTGGATTCACTCCTGGTAAGTCCACAATTGACTGTATCCTTGCGCTTCGAGTCATTGTAGAGTGCTGTTGTGAGTTCGGGTGTGGGCTGCTTGCAGCCTACATCGACCTCTAGAAGGCTTTTGATATGGTGCATCGGGAATCACTCTGGGAGATCCTGAGACTAAGAGGAATTCCTACAAGTATTATTTGACAGATAACAAGTCTGTATATTTGTACTGAAAGTGCTGTAAAGTGTGATGGGGGCCTGTCGAGCTTCTTTCCTGTTAGTTCAGAAGTGAGGCAAGGCTGTGTTCTTGCACCAATACTTTTCAATACTTGCATTGACTGGATACTGGGCAGAGTTACTGATCAAAGTCATTGTGGAGCAACTCTGGGCAATATCAAGGTTACAGTCCTTGACTTTGCCAATGATGTTGCTATTCTATCTGAGTCCTTAGAATCTTTAGTGGTGGCCCTCGATGCATTTAGTAATGAAGCGAAGCCCTTGGGGTTAGAGGTTTCCTGGACCAAGACCAAGATCCAGGACTTTGGGGACTTGCTAGGAGAACCTGTTCGATTTGTACGTGCTTGCGGCGAGGACATTGAAGTCACAGAGAGCTTTACATACCTTGGTAGTGTAGTTCATAACTCTGGGCTGTCAGACTAGGAAGTCAGAAGACAGATTGGCCTGGCAGCAGGGGTCATGAACTTTCTCGACAAGAGTATTTGGAGATGCCAGTACCTGTGCAGAAGGACCAAGCTATGTGTCTTCAAGGTCCTGATAATGCCAGTTTTGCTATACAGTAGTAAAACCTGGACATTATCCTATGCCTTGGAGTCATGTCTTGAAACCTTCTGTAATAGGTCCTTGCGCTGGATCATGGGGTACAGTTGGTGGGACCACGTGTCCAACCAACAGTTGCACCGTGAGACTGGCGCAGGACCTGTAACCTGCACAATCCGGGATCACAAACTCAAGCTATACGACCACCTGGCTCGCTTCCCCCAGGATGATCCTGTCCACCAGGCTGTCTCTGTACGAGACAGCCCTGGGTGAGGGAGGCCTGTGGGACGACCTAGGATGTATGGCTTGGGCAGATCGATCAAACCTGTCATGAGGAGCTCAAGATGGTTTGAGTCCCTGCCTGGCGGCTTGCCATGAGGGACCCCAAAAGGTGGAAGCAAAGGGTGGATATGGCTATGTGCCCCCGTCGGCATTAGCCCCCAGATGATGATAATATATGTATAGATATAATACCAAATTTATGAAGTTTTGCTGAATCTTATTATCATATATTTTATTTTTGAAAAGTAGGAAATTATTACCTGAAAATGCCCTAGACATAAATTTCCTTTTAATCACACACAATTTCATATTTTTGGGGCAATTAATCAACAAATAATACACAAAAATCACTCAACATAAAACTGTGGTGCAAACCTGAGCAGAGATAACAGAGAAGGCATCCAGATAGGAAGGCCAGTCAGCCTGCTCTCCTTCCCTCTCAATCTTGAGCATCAGTTCCTGCAGGGAACTCTTGATGTCTATCACACGCTGCAGAATGGCATCAAGTGCTGCATCCAGTGCTCTTTCTTCTCTCTGGGGAAAGGTAAAAGAAGTGTTTTTCATATGCATTGTCAAGTTTTTGCTTATTTGTATACAAAAATGTTACTCAAAGAATATGCCTAAGGGTCATTTCTATGTGTGTGTATATATATATATATATATATATATATATATATATATATATATATATATATATATATATATATATATATAATCTCTGATGTACACTTTTTATATAAAACAAATGACAGTCTAAATCAAATTGGAGATCCTGAGATAGAGTCCATCATCTTTATCCTCTGTACACTCTGGAAGTGAAGAGGTGGTTTTGGGTGACAAGGACATTTTGTACACTAGCGAAAATGATGACAAAAATTAATGACCCTTATGCAAGATCTATCATTATACTGTACAGCTAGTAATGACTACCTAAAATGGTATATCAATATGTACCCTGAAGCATGTCCAATATTAACCTCTTCCTTCAGGACCACTTAAATCAGTTGGGCTTACGTTTTGTTTAAGGCCTTGTTCTGTTTAATGTTGTGTAAGTTGATTTCTCTGGTTGCTTGTAAGACACAAGCTAAGTATGTGATATTCTGAGTTAACCTAAAAGTCATTTTCAGAAGGTAAAATCATTTCAGTTAAAATATATAACAAGCAGTTACTTTAAGTGCACTTTTGACAGCAGGAAAGAAAGAAAGAAAGAAAGAAAGAAAAAAAAATCAAACCCTCCCAATGGTTGTTAGTTTCATGATGGTAGTATTATAAAGCACAGTCACACAAGGATTTCATCAGCAGCAAATCTGCACTCAAAAGGCACACCTGTGACACCGGATATAAAACATTTGTCACAAGTGACAAATGTTTTCTCTGCAGCAACACTGACCATTCTGTAAATGTGTCACAAAACAAATGAAGAGGCAAATGTGGGTGCACTTCTGACTAAGCAAGAAAAGGAATGCAGTGCTTAAAGTACAAAATTACTAAAAATTTAGTAATGATTGCGATAGATATAATACAAAATACATATCCAATCAATTTCATATTTTCCTTTAGAGTATAGTTTCTCTGATGTTTTCCCAATCCCTAGCCCGTTGCTGTCATGGGGGGAGGGGGGGGAGGTAGGAGACAGAGACTGAGGCCCAATGTAAGGTAGCACCTCTATCTTAGAACACAGCTCTTGACTTAACTAATTTTGTATGGTCTTTTCCTCTCCTTATTTCCTTTTCCTTATCTTCCCCACTTCCTTCCCCTGTCCAATTACTAAGGAGTGAAAGCCATGTTGAGAGGATGAAAGGCTGATTTTGTGCTAGGCATGATTGGCCTCAGAGAACCATGGGTCCAATATTCCCTTGGTTAGCTGTTTAGCCCTAACCCTTTATGGGTACCTTGATGGGTGGACCTTTTAGCTTCCCCATGTATTTCAGGCCAGTAATGATGAATACTTTGTATCCTTATGAGGAACACTGAGGCTTGCTCCTTTATCAACTAGCCTCTCTAAATCTAACTCCTTCGGTTTATCGACCTTTGATGATGAAGATGACCACTACTACTACACCCCCTTGTTGACACTTGCTATCAACTTAACCAAACATAAATCATCTACCCAGGTTATAACTCAACCTTCAATGGTTAATGGTTAATGGTTAAAAGCAAAACAAATATGCTAGACATCTAAGATCATGTAGCACTACAAGAAGGTATTGTAATGGGCATTAAGGAGTTGATAAGTGAATGGGTTATGGTGGGGTTAGGTAAGGGGATTCGATCAAATGAAGGATATGTATGCGTGTGAGGAAGGAGAACAGGTTGTCAAAGCAGAAAGTGTGGGATTCTGTAAGGATGTCTGATAGGTTGGGAGGTTGGTGAAGGGAGGAAAGGTGGGAGGAAAGCAGAGGTGCGGGCTGTTGCAAAGCGTGAACAGGACAACTGAATGTATGGAACTGAAAGAGGGACATTACATATGGGAATTGGGAATTGGAACAGGAGGATGTGTAAGTAAAGTCTCTTGGAGGCAGATAATGGATGAGTTATAAGAAGAAAGGAAATGATGAAGGTCACCTCTGTCAGAACAGAAACTGTGAATATTCCAATGTCAGAGAGCTATTACTTACTTGATCTACGAGTGATATCAGTTACAGTGCGTTTTGGAGAATTTGAAGGAGCTAGAAGGAGAGACAAGGAATTAGAGGGGGGGGGGGTGTAATATCAGGAGGGGGAGGATATGGGGAAGGGTATAGTCATGATATAAGGGATTCATGTATGTATCCAGGAGGAAGTGAAAGGGATAGAGGGGTAGGTGAGGAGTTTTGGTGTCATTTTTTGAACTTGAGCAGATAGTTTCTGTAGTGGAGCTGGTTGGAGAATTTTGTGAGACAAAGGTTTTATTAAGAGGGGGCGAAGAGGAGACTGGTGTCTGAGGAATAGAGGCAAAGGTAGGTGGAGGTGAGTGTGTGGTAGGAGAAGAGGGAATGGAATATTTAGTCTGTCTGCTGTGGGTAGTGCGGGGAGGGAGAGGGGAAGGTGTTGGGGCTGCAGGAGAGATTGGAGTGTCTGGATTTAGAATGGCAAGAGAATTTGACTGGGGAAGGTAGGAGATAGAAGTAGGGAAGGGAAGTAAGATGTAGGTATAAGGGAGGGTGTAGGAACATCTTGGGAGGGAGGGGGAGGGGTAGAGCGAGCGACATTAGTGGAGTAGGGAGTATGAGAGAAACCTTGTCGATGTGCTTCCTGAGACTAATCTGAGAGTTGCCACCTCAGATTCAAACTTGTAGGTGGGGCATCCCCTATAAAATACATTATGGGGGTCGCTGCAGTTAGCATGTGTGTGTGATTGTGCAGAGCAGTTTGATAGGTTATGACCAGGTTGGGCACATAGAGAGCATTGGGCTGTGGAATGGCAATGTTTGGCAGGCTATCCTAAACGCCTACAGTTTTGACATCGACGGGGAGAAGGTTGATATGGTTAGACAGAGGGATTCTCCACTAATGTAAACATGTATACAGAAAGTAATTTTGGCAATGTTGGTGGGGTTCATATGATGACCTCTAGGAGGAATGGAGCAGCACTGTACTGATATTACACCATATTCCGTGATTAATCTTTATTATAGATAGGGCAGTTTGCTGGGGAGATAGACAGTTCTGGTACAAGTATTAACCCATTGCCGACGGGTAACAATGTTTGGTAATTGGACGTATAGACGGGCTTGTTGGCGCACATCTGCAGTTTTCCCTGTTTGCGCCCGGCTCGATCGGTAGTTTGCGAGCGACATTTAGCACCTTAAAGCATTTATTTTGCTATAATTTTAAAAAATATTAAAATTTTAAAGGTTTACCTTTATGATAGGTGCCATTGCCTAAAATCTTTACCATATAAATGAAGCCGCTACTATCTGAAAAAAACAAACTCTGTCCGACGAGCCAGTGGCGCGGGAATGGGTATGACACAATGCCACCCGTCTTTCGGTCCACAACAGCCATGGCATGTGCGTACATGCCACCTGTCGGCTAGGGATTAAGGGTTGGAAGAGGTTCTGCATAAATGGAGTTGCCAGAGAGATCAGTTAGAGTTGATAATGCTATAGCTTGGCTTTCGGATGAAACTGTAATGAAACGGGAACCTTCAGGTTGGTTGCGGAAAGAGAATTTGCCTGCTTGTTTTCAGAAACATTGTTTTTGGAGAGTTGTCAGAGCAAGGAGCTGTAGGGGGATCATGAAAAATTGGTCCCACTTAGCTGGGCTAAAAAGAGTATTTAAAATATTTGTAGAAATGGGAGTAGTAGAGGAACAGGGACGTGTGGAAGAGGGAGTATTGTTGAGGGGGGTAGTATTACAGGAAGGTGGAGAATAAGACTGTAAAGTAGTAATAAGGGAGGATGGGGTGATTGATGAAGAAGGTTGTGGGGGTAGAGGTGATGAAGTTAAGGAAGTTGGGAGAGTAGAAATGTGTCCTGGAGATTGAGGCTTCACTTAAGTGGATAATGTACTAGTAGGCATTAAGGGGGCCGTCGCAACCGAGAACGAACTTCGTTAATTATGATCGGATTTTTGCGATTTTTTAATGTCATATATACATATACTACGATTTACACCACCGTGTTTCATACCATTTGGATAATAATCAATTAAATTATTGTTAAAAAAATATAAGTTTTTGGAAATTAAAAAAAATATATATAACTCAATTATCCATTGACCGAACTTGTTTAAAAAATTACCACATATAGTCTATAGCAATACCTATAAAAGTTATCCAATAGATTTTGAAATTTCCGCTTAGTTTAGTGTAAAAAATATCTTTTTTAAAATCTTCATTCATACCTATATAAAATGATATATCGGCTTTCATCCCCTAAAATGAAAAACTAACTGTCACTTTAATCGCAAATTTATTCAGCTCTCAAATGATCCAAACCCCATTAAAATCCCGAGTATGTCGACAAAGGTGTAGTTTTAAGATATCGGGCTTTGAAGTTGATACTTTTCCCCGTATTTTTTTTTTTTTTCTAGAATTCTGGTCTCTGCGTCAATCTTGATGCATTCTATGGTATCCACATGGTATTCTGAAGTGTAGCTGGTACCTGGTTCCCCCTTTTGCAAGGTACCAATGGCAAGAATTGCACGTGATTCTAGAAGTATCCTGTGGCATCACAGGTTTCGCAGTTCCTCCAGAGGCATTTCATACGAATAACCAATTGCTGCAGCTGTGATTGAGATATATTTATGATATTACGTATATTAGTAACAGGAATAACATCTATCATTAGTAGAGTCCTCTTAGTGTGTGATCAGAGCGAATCACATGGTGGGATGGTGCCGGGTCCAAGGTCACGGCGCGGCAGCACAGCCTCTCGCTCTCTCTCTCTTGTGGATGTCAGCTGATTCAGAAGAGTTGCCAGCTAGCTACGAGAGACTACCAAATAAATAGAAAAAAATCCAGAAAATCTAATTTGTCGAGTCTATTAGCTCAGACGTGACAAAGTAAACATCAGAGCCGGAGGTGAGGGGGGGTCAGAGATTTAGTCATA